AACAGGCTGGCACGGGAGCTGAATGCTGGTGTAGATTGGTGTTTTGTTTTTTAATTCAAGAAGTAGAGGGGAAATGGCCCGGGCAGCCTCAGGAAGGCGTGCGGGGCAGGAGCACGGAGCCTGCCGGGCTGCGGTACCGCCCGCTCCGGTACCACACGCTCCGGTACCCGGACGGGCTGCGGCACAAGCAGCCAGCTGCAGCTCCTCCCGCCGGGCACACACGGAGGAGGGAGGCGGCAGATGCCCAGGAAAGTGCCCTTGGGGAGTGCTGGGCAGCGCTGCTGTCCCCAGCCCGTCCCCAGCTGCGGCAGTGTCCGAGGCAGCTGCCCTTCAGCCGCTGCCCCAGGGCTGTGCTCCTGGAAGGCCAGTCACCTCTCCCTCCTCACTGAAGGGCTGCACGCCCTGCGTGAACAGCAGTCTGTACCTCAGGCGGATGGGGGCCTGGGAGAGAAGGAGACAGAGGGGCACACCATGGTTACAAACTCCGGGCCTCCTCCACCCCTCACGGCCTGGCTGCACTGGGTCACCTCTGAAGGGGGAAACACCAGCCTTCCAGAAGCTCTGCACAGAAGGAAACCCTGCATCTTCCTGGGATGGACAAGAGCAACTGGAAGACCCGTGCATGCCACCCGTGGGCATGCTGGCAATCCAGGCCTGGCCAGCCTACTCAGACAGAGAGTTCCTTACACCAGTTTTGGGTCTCATAATGCAACAGATCCGCCACCCATCGCTTGTGCCTCGGGTGCCCTCGTGTTCCACCAGCTGCCAACACCTGCACGGTGAGTGCCTGGAGCTGGCTCTGTGTGCACATAGCCCAGAACTGTGCGGGCCCCTGCAGCAACTGCCCACACAGCCCTTCAGACTGTAGCTCTGGAAAGCTCTCTGAGCAGAAGAAACATCTTCCCAGCACAGCCCAGGCTGCCCTGTCTCTCCACTGCATCTCCCCATTATTAAGACTGTCCCCATCTCTCACACAAACAGCCAGTGGGGCCCCAGTGCCCAGCAGCAGCACCTTGTGTGGGTTGGCGAGCAGCAGCACTTGTGACACCACTGCAGGCGGGAGGAGAGGGTTGAAGGCTGGCAGCTCAGAACCAGAGGCTGGTTGTAACTTTATTTGCATGGTCTGAAAGAGAAGACAAAAGAAACACTGTTTAGTCCGTGGTGGGAAAGGGCTGTGAGCAATGGAGCTGATTAACAGAATTGCTGTCATTCAGTGAAAAGCACAGCCTACAACTGAAGGCAGATATTCCTAAACAGCCAATTCTATGCTTCACATGCATGGGGAGCAAGAGCCCTGCCCAGGAGGCTGAAGCAGCAGCTCTGGAGCCCTCTGGCTGTAGCAAGGCCATGGATACACACTGTGAAACAGGCACTGATGCCACAGGCACCACTGCACAACAGGTTCTCTGTCCAGAGACAGGGAGCCACAGTTTCCCGTGAGCAAGGCAAACACTCAGTAAGAAATGGTGAACCTTCTCCTCAGGACATTTCTGAGCATCTCTGCTGCTTTGTCACAGGGTTCTCACCTTTGGGACTGCAGCCTGGAACACTATGTCCCTAATGGGGTGAGCTGAGGTGCTCAGCATGGACAGGACCATCACCAGCACGTCTGGGCGGCCGGGAGCCGGGTCTCTGCAGAAGTGGAGCATGGCCTTGAAACCATTCCTGTCATACACAGTGAGTGGACAGATAGTGCCTGCCAGAGACAAATTGAGACTCAGAATCAAAGCCTGGATTCCTCTCCCATCTGAGAGGGAACAGGAAAGATGGGATAAGGAACAGCAAAAAGGAAAATGCAGACAAACTTTTACTTCCTTTGGCAAACTCACAGACCAAGTGGCACACAGGCCCTGATTTACATGTGCCTTCAAGACAGAGACAGGAATCTGCATGTCTGCATTTGGGATTTAGCAGCTCAGGTTTCACCGGTCCTTGAGAGAAGTCAGGTGTGGATCCAACAGAGACATGGTGGGAAAAGCAATGTGCCTTTCTTAGTGCACACAAGATCTGGCTCCTTACCATCCACACCTGGCAAATTCAGACCTATCACCATCCAGCCCTTCCAAAATCTGCTAGAACCTTCACTTGAGACTGAAGGCAGATCAGGATGTCTGTGCACCTGTCTCCTCCAGCAGCAGTGAGAACCAGGGCTCTGTGGCCCCGAGCTGAGACCCCAGGGTGAAACCCAGGAAATTCTCTGGGGCTGAGCTGCAGGGCTGGGCCATGCAGTGTGAAACCGAAAAGCAGAGGTGAAATGAAGAGCTCTGCTTTAGGAAGTGGGGCAACTCCCACTCAAAAGTGTCTTTGAGAGCTTTTAGTAGAACAACTGTTGGAAGATTGACTGAAGGTGCAAAGGACAGGGTTTAGAAGCACATTACAAAGATCAGCCAGGGCAGGAAACTCCTGCATAAGGACATTGTCATGCTGTGATCCCTAGCACCTACTCAAATTCTCAGGTACATTAAGCACATCACAGAACAGTCATTGCTTGTCTCCAGCCAACCCACACAGCATGAAGCTGCTTTGGCTTCCTATCCTGAAGAACTCATGGAAGAGCTCTGGTAAGTCTCCAGTAAGCAGAGCTGGGGCACAGAATTGCACTTACTTGGTGTAACCGAAATTAAAGGCACAAACAGGTTTTCTAGAGAAGCATCAGAGGAAGCTGGATGCAAAGAGGCAGCAGGCTTCAGCTCGTAGCCTGGACTGAGGAGTGGAGGATCTGCCACTGAGTTATGTGGAAGATCTGGAAAGGGCAATTTCTTTGGTGATAAATCCCTGGAAAGAAAAGCATGCAGAAAGCTTGTATTAATTTGGGATACTACAGGGAATATACTGTCTTCTGCTGTACTGCTGGGTCTGTCTGTATTCCAAATCTCTCATCTTCTTTAGGTATAAAGAAACTACAGACTTACACTCTGAGCCCTTGAGGAATTAAAAAACTCTCTCATCTGTGGAAGACCTTTCTGTTTCAAAATTCATTAAGGCAGATTTTGGTTCTGTTACTATGGTAAAACTTAGATTTAAGGCTTTGGAAGTCTGCCGTCCCTGTGCACAGCTTCTCTGGAGGCCTAGTCAGGCAGATTAAAGTAAATTCCAGCTCAAAGACATCACAGGAGGTTGGAAATCTTCAGTAAAATTTCTTGTATTATGGCAGACTGTAGAAGTGCACTGTAATAGTCTCCTGCTCTGAAGATCTGTGGAGATTAATTTGATTTGTGAGCTATTCCAAACTTCCACCAAATGTCTGGGAACTACCTTGTCACAGTCTGGTGAAAGCTGAGGAAAGTACTTTTTGAGTGACAGGTTATTATAAACAGGCCTGCCTGTAAGTTTTTTTTTCTTTTAGCTCACCATCACCTTGTTATCAACCAATGGTCTGCCCAGATTTCTGACCCTTGGAAGATCCAGTGTGCAATTACACAAACTGCAATTAACAGGTGCACAGCTGCAGGAGAGAGCCAACATGAGCATGGATCACTTGCCATCACTAACCAGGGGCAGCTGAAAGGTTTTCCTAAACCTCCCTGCTGTAAAAGAATTCCTCAGCCCCCAAATCTGACTCTATTATGAAGAGTTTACTTACAAAGAGAATGTTTTGGTCCTGGACAGTGGAGAGAGCTGTTGATCCAGGCTCTGGAATTCACTCTTCCCTGCACAGCCATCTTCCCAGCTCTCCTGTGGTCCCAGGGTTTGTACAGCACTTACACCTTCCCTAAATCCATTGTGTACAGCAGGCTGGAAAATATGGCCCTTCAGGTTCATGCTACATATCAGCAAAAATAAACTTGTTGCACTGCAAAGAGCTCTGTTCATTAAATTCCTCTAACTAAAGTAGAAATACGTTGTAGGTGCAATCTGCACCTGAGAGATTAACTGAGAGCACAAGGATTCCAGTTTCCCTTCAGAACCAAGTGGTCCACCAAAAAGGCTGCCAGGGAAAGGCAGACCAGGAATCATCTCTGATTTCTGTCCTTTATACCTTATGGACTGCAAAGTATCTGAGCCTCACTCACCTCTGCTAGGCCAGAATTGGGTGGTGGTTTCTGTATGGCAGGGGAGTTGCTGAGACCTAAGAAAGATACCAAAATGTCACAGATAATTTACAGAAAACAGGGTTTCCACAGGTTCTTCCTTTGCTGTCTAACACCACTAAAGACACTGCATCCCTGAAAACTTTCATCTGGAAGGCTCTTTCTCTTGGGGCTGACACTGAAGTCAAAGCTCTCCTACTAAACACCACAAGCCCCAGGAAGAAGGGTGACACTGAGCTGCAGCTACAGACCCAGGGACTGGCACTCGTCCTGGAGCAGGCAGCTGGAGGCTGTGCTGCCGTGCTGGGAGGCTGAGGCTGTGTCTGCACAGGGCTCTGGGGGGGTCTGGGCCATGGGCTCCAGCTCAGAGAAGTCGATCAGCGTGTAGCTCTTCATGCGCCGTGGGGCTGCTGGGGAACAGAGACAGAGTCAGCGAGGAACCTGTGGAAAGGAACGGCACATCCTGGGCTACAGCTGTGCCTGAAAGGTGGAAAACTCTGGGAACGCTTTCTATCAACTACATGCAAGAGAAAACGATGGTTATGTAATATTTTTTCCTGTGTTACAGCACTTTCTCCAGGGTTGTTCCCTGAGGAGCACTTCCCTCCCAAGCCCCGCTCCCCGCAGCTGCTGAGGGAACTGTGGGTGCTTCTCACCTGGTGCACGGGCAGAGCTGGCAGCTGGAGCTGCTCCATCGCCGTTCTCCTGGCTGGCCACAGCCTGCCTGTACTGCCCCAGCACCCCTGAGAGCTTGTCACTGGCCTGCAGGACCTCAGCTGGGAAACCAGAGCAGACACAAAACACTCACCTTCCAACGGGAAGGCCAGGCCAGTGCCACAGCACCCCCAAAAAGCTCGTGAGGAAGGGACAGTGCAGCTCAGGAGCAAAAGCCAGAGAAGCAGGCTGTCCTCAGCTCCCCACTCGCCTTTCATTCCATTTTGTACTCACAGCTGCTGATTCCAGGCCTCTCTCTCATTTACCAAGATCACTTTGAAATCTTATCCCATCTCTAAAGAATTCCTAATTCCTGACATCTCTTGTGCACCTTCTTTTTCTCCACAAGTTTTCCCTGTGCACTCCAGTCTGTAATCCAGCACTCAGAGCCGTGGCACCCGTGGGTACAAAAGGAAGGTGTGAGGGCAGCTGAGCCCTCAGGGTTGCTGTTCAGGATGTCTGTGCAGCAACCATTGCTTCAGATGGACTTCCAAGGCACATGTTCAGGAATGAAGTGACAATTGTGGAATTTAAAGGTTCTGCTCTTATCAAATTAACACTACTCTAGCTGAAACCAGGACACTTTCCTTGGTATCACAAGGAATTCAAAATATATTCCTCTTTCTCTGTTTATACACAAGGAAAACTTCAGTCTCTGGAGAGAAAAGGCCTCAAAAGCCTTCAGTTCTCTGAACATCAGAACTCAAAGAAACTCAGAAAACCACCTCAGCTGAAGAAGCAGATTCACCATTTAACTTTGGGCTCCAAGTGAAAATTAACAGCTTCCTCAGAGCTGAGCAGGAGGAGACAGAATGCCAGGTCCCTGGGCATGGTTGCACGGTGAGAGTGGAGAGCTTTGCCCACAGGGTGCCAAGTACCCACTCCCAGCCTGTCCCAGCTGCCAAGCAGCACGAGCAGGGGCTGGCTCTTACCTAGAGCCTCCTCGTCAGGCAGTGCCTCGCTGGCCAGGCGGAAGAGCAGCGCCCTGAGCCTCTCACAGCGCTGGAGCAGAGCCTGGGGAGGAGACATTCCACTGCTCAGGACCAGGCACACTCACACTTCGGCCTCTGCAGTCACCTGCCAGTGGTGCCCCCTCTAGAACAGGGAGGAAGAAGAGCATTTATGCAGGAAAAAGAACATTTACCTGTAGGGTCTCCTGCTCAGCTGGGGATAATTCATGTCTCCTGTAGTTCTCCAGTAACTCCTCCACATGTCGGACAGTCTCGGAAACCTCACTGATGGTGTTCACTCTCCGGGACACCTGAGCTGACTTTTCTTGTTCCTGTGGTGAAAAATGAAAGAAAGGTAGATGGTGACGTGGCTGGAGCACTCTGGCTCACACCTGTTAGCAGGCACAAAGCAGCACAGGTGGGAACGTGCCCCCAGCTGCCCCAGCAGGGCACCCTGCCCGTGAGCTGTGGGATATGGAATACAGCTCACCACAGGCACGAGCATGACTTCAAAATCTGAGCTGGGAGTTGGTGGCTTCTGCCACAGAATAACACACTCAAAATGACCACAGGATTAAACCAAATCTCCTCTGCAGGCAGAGAAGTGGGATGGTCCTGCAGGTGGAACATGCAAACACACAGGCCAGATGTGCACACACACTGCTTGCAGGAAAGAGGCAGTTTTGTACAGGAGTGACTTTTTTCCACCTGGGAACTGAGTTTATTTTTGGAATTTTCTGACCACTACGGCAGCACTACTGCCAAGGTCCCACTGACATGGAAGAGTCCTGCTGTATGCACATTCACATATTCCCTCTTCCTGATAACGGCATATTTTAGGGAAACATAACAAAATGATCCCATGCTGTAATCTCAGAATAACTTGGAAAGACTGAACATGGCCCCTTCACTGGGGCTGCCGTACAGAGGGTCTCCTGCCAAAAACTGAGTGGCCAAGTTCCCTCCCTGGCTGCACAGAGGCTTCTCCTGGCAGTTCCCACCTCTCTAACCACGCTCTGGATCAGGTGGTTGGCTGCCTGCAGGTCCTCGGGGTGGCTGCTCTTCAGGAGCCTGGCCAGGAGCTGTCAGGGCAGAGATGGGACAGCAGTGAGCAGCAGCCCCTGGGCCCTGTGCACACCTCCCACACCACAGACACCTCCTGCAGAACCGTCCCATAATGCTGGAAATGCTTCAGCTCCTGTCCCACAATCGAATCCAGGTTACATTGCTGCCTGCATGCACTGGCTGCTCAGGATTAGGAACTCGGGCTCTGCAGGACTTGTGTAAGACCTGGAGAACCCTCCCTTGGGGAAGTGTCACGGAAACTGATGTTTTTCTGTTAAAAAGTTTCACTTTTTACTAAGGAAATATTTCTGACAAAGCCTCAGTTTCTCTCAGTAGAGAACTCAAGAGAGTTCCCCAGTTGTTGCACTGCAGGAAGGATCAGCATTATTCTGAGACAGTCTGTCTGAAACAGCAGAAGTCACAAAATATTACTGAATCTCTTTTATCATCACTACAAAACAGAGGGTGGGGCATGAAGACTCTAAGGTTTACCTTGGACTTCTCTTCATCTGTGTCAAAAATAGAATTCTGAGGTCTTGGAGAAGGGGGAGGTAAAATTTTGTCTTCTGGCAGTTTGGGATCTTCTTTTACAATCCCTGGAACAGGTAACAGCAGTTGTTCAAGCTGCTGAAACCTCGATGCTCAACAGTGCGTGAGGTTTTGCACGATTTCCACATTAAAATATCACTGAGGACTACTAAATATAATGTATTGGATGAAAAATCCATCCCAGGATCCCTCTGAACTCATCTCTCATAACCCTGGGAGAGTATTCCAGGGCAAAGATCATTTTCTGAGCCTGTCCTGTACTTTTTCCCTGCACACAGTGTGAACAGAGGCCTCCAGAGTGGTCTGAGCTGTGGCTCAGGAAGGCTGTTCTTTGGAAAATCCCTAGAAACACTTCCATGCATCCTTCAGAACTCAGCCAGCCTGGGGCCTTTGTCCCTTTTCCTTACACACAACATGTTATGAAAAAGCTGAGTCACAAGCTGAGGGGGGCAGATATCTGTGGGGGAAACCATGGGAGGCTAAAAAGGAAACTGAAATAACAGAACTGAACCTTGTTTCTTCAGCATCTGATAAGCATCCTGGATTTTGACTTCCTGAGGAAACCAGACTGTCCAACTGAATATCACTTCTGTGACCCTCGACTTGACTTTTTCTGAAGACCAGATTCCATAGTACTGAAAACAAGACAGTAAAGAAAGACAAAAAAAGCTCAAATCCGAAGAATTGGTGCCAGACCTGGCACAGGGATCCAGCCCCAAGGAGTTCATGTGCAGACACCAAGGATAAAATGGATTCCTGTGAGTTTATTCACAGCGCTGTCAGCTGTGTGTCTTTGGGTTAGGAAACACAAGAAATGCTATGGAGAGTGTGGGAATCACACACATGTTTGTAACAATCAGAATTAAACCACTTCAAACTTCCCTGGTCAATTACTGAATCCAAAACCCAGAGTGGATTATTTTAGTGAAAACAGTTTTGTGCTTGACTTTAAACACGCCCCTTAATTGCTGTAATGCACTCACACCACTGGCCTCAGCCAGCCCCAGACACAGGAAAACTGAACAAAACCAGAAACAACAGTTACTGTCTTTTATCAGCATCTGGGTGTTTTCTCCAATTTCTCTTTATCTCCTATGAGCACTCCTTTCATTATAAAAACACAAAGCTCCCCAAGAGCAGGCATTTCAAACTCATTAAACGATAGCTGTCCTCTCAGAGCAGTAAGCAGAATTGTCCTCAGTGATATATGCTTTAAAGTCTATGGTTTCACTGAAATCCTGTTACCAAGCCTGAGACTGAGACAAGGAGTTTCGTTCTTCAGCTGAGCATTTCTCTGAAATCAGCTTTTTGCAGCTCTGCCCCTGGGCTGATGCAATGGAAAATGAAACGTGCACCAGCCGTAAATGTGTGCAGGATCCAGCAGAAAGGGAAATCCATGGATGTGGGGCTGAGAGGGTGTTCCAGGCAGGCCCAGGCCCACCCCAACGAAGAAGAGCATGGCCAGAATATCCCACTGCCTCTGATAAAGCAGAGCTGCATTTCTTATCCCTATTTTATTCTTATCTAACTACCATCACCTACCTTTGGGGAGAGCACTTTAATCAGCTCATTCAGAAACCTGAATTTTGCCATTTCACTGTGAAATCTGTCACCACAGTTGTTCACACAGGTCTCCAGCACCTGCAGAAAACAAAATGTTCCCAACAGGAACTGGAGACACAAGGCTTGGGGAGCTTTCAGAAACTTCATCATTATATTACTGTATCTAAGAGCTTTCCGACAGGGCATTCACCAACACAAGAGAAAGTCATGCAGCAAGAACGTGTTTTATTCCTTCATCCAGCCTTCCTAAGCAGCACATTAAGACCACCTGCTCTGTTGTACCCATCAGGAACAACCTTAGAGCTGTTGCCAGTGTGGTGAGACACAGCTCACGCAGCCAGAGCTGCAGAGCAGTGAAACACCTCAGCACAGCAACGTGGGGAGGAACAGCAGCAATTACTGCCTGCACTGTGCCCTGGTTTCTGTATTCCTCGTGCAAGGGGAAGTTAAAAGGGAGAGGAGTCCAAGAGAAAGACATTGACATCTAAGAGATAAGGAAGAGAGACCTATCCTGTCTGCTCTGCCGTCCCACCTGCCAAACTGTTTCCAAGCGAGTGTTTTGTGTGTGGGTGGAAGTACTCACTGTGAGAGCGTGGAGAGCTTCCCGCTCCTGAGGGGACTGGATTTTGTGTGCCAGCAGCCTCAGCGCAAACAGCGGGCTGGGGAAGAGCAAAGCAAGTCACACCATGCACAAATTCCCAGGAAAAACGAATGCTGCTGGCTTTGGTGTGCACAGAAGAGCAGCTGCTGGATTCCCAACGGGACAGACCCCCTTCCTGGGGCACGGTGCTGGCCATGCACACTCAGGGGGTGAACTGCTGACCCCAGAGCTGCCCTCCAGCCGTGCCAAGGGGCTGTCCTGGGAGAGAGAGCAGCAGGGACAGGCTGGGGGATGACCACAGGAACTGGCTCTCTACAGCTGCAGGAGCTTCCAGGACAGCCAGGGCAGCCCGTGCCAGCTCCTGGGCACCAGCTGGGTGCCAGACTATGAGCTCTGAACTCAGTCTGCTCTGAACATAGAGATGATCAACAAGGTTTGACAGGCCATTTGCATTAATCAGCCCCTGCTACTTCCCAGGGAATCCAGACTGTCAGCTGGAAGGTGAGGAAATCTCAGTAGAGATCCTGCACCTGTCTGGAAGGAAAAGCTGAGGCTGAGCTCTCTTGGGGCTTCCCTGCAGAACCCCACAGCAGGAATCCTTGGCCAGGCTCCTAAGGGCATGGCCAGCAGGAGGGCTCCAGCAATTGATGCCAGAGCCCATTCCCAGACATCACCCTCCATCACACTGCATATACACCTCTTCCCAGCTCATATTTCCAACTCATTTCTGCTCCCAGGAGCAGCAGAGCCCCGCGAATCCCCTCAGCCCCCTGTCCAGCTCCCCTCACCACAGCCCCAGGCCCCATTCCCACACAGCCTGGCTGAACACAAAGAGCTGTGTGTCTGCCTTACCCCTCTGTGCCAGCGTTCACCTGCTCACAGAACCGCTGGATGCATTCCCAGTTTTCCTCGGAGACACTCGGGTCAGTGGCCTCATCTTACAGAGGGAGAAAAACAAGAGAGGAAGGAGGAAAGCCTGGGCTCAGTGTGAGCGAGTGCTCAGAGCAGGAAACAGCTCAGACCTCGCTGGTGCCACTGCTCCAGAGCTTTTCATGGCAGAAAGGGGAGATCCAGGACGAGCAGGAAACAGCTGTTACTAAAATTGACTAAAAATATATAGTCCCGAGCACACACTCAAAGTCAAGCACAGCCCAACAACAGCAGATGTTGCTTTGAGCACAAGAAACTTAAAAACCATTTACAGGCAGTTCTCCTGGGACCACTGCAAAACTTGTGGTGGACCACAGGCAGTTCACACTTCTGCACAGCTAAATTAAGGAAAAAGCCTCTGTTGGCTGTGCCCACTCCCCAGTCTCAGCCAGCTCAGGCAGCTCTGGGGGCCGAGGATGGGCAGGACAGATGGGAAAAGGACAGACACAGCAAGAGAGCACCCACATCCCTCTGCAAGGGTTCCATGGGGGCAGTGAGCCCTTCCCTATGGAGGAGAAGCTGCTCCAGTGCCCACCCAGTTTGGAAGAGGCAGCGGAGGCAGCAGCCAAGCCAGCCCCACTGCCCAGCCCCACTCACTGAGCCAGCGCTGCAGCTGCCCGGGGCCAGCCATGGCTCTGTCCCTCGGCCGGGCAGGGAGCAGCTCCGTGGGCAGCCCACCCTGTGCCGAGTGTTCCTGCTGTGGAACTGCTCAGCACTACACCCACCAACACCCCTCGAGCTCCTCCCCTCGCCGGCGCGCAGAGGATTGGTGAGAACAGAGTCTAAGTCACCACAGTAATTTAATAATTAAAAGGGCTTCAGACAAAAGAGGAAAAAACATCCCAATCTCCTGATCAGGGGTATTTTTGGCAGAACCACGTGTGTGACACAGTACACAGGGAGGAAACCCCCTCTGAGCAGCTCACTCAGCCTGGAAGGACACCATGGCAGCCAAGAGGGTAACAGCTATAGCATATATCTGTTTATATATATGCATATATATCTATAAATACCCCCACTGTATTTATTAGGGAACTGTGTTGTGTAGCTGTAGGCACCCTGACTGTGAGGCCCTCTCCAAAAAGGATCTGATCTGCTGCTATCAGAAGTTCAGTCGCTTCCTGTCCACATGCTCTCAATTGAAGTGCTGATACACGTCTTTTTCTCCCACCCAGCAAACCAGGCTCCTTGCACGAGGCAACAGCAGGGCAGAGTTGAATCTGGACTTGGTTCCTCTCCCAGGTGAAGTGGCCTGTGTTTAGTGCAGGTTGGTACAGACGTGGGACCAGCACAGATGCCTAAAGCCCAGCTGCCCAGAGATGATCACACAGGTGCCACCTGCACCGTCCAAGCGCGTGGCCTGGCAGCGTCACCGACGTCCCTGTCAGCTGGACAGTGCTCTGCGTATCCGGCCACACACCTCCTCAGCTCCCAGAGTCACCATCATCTCAGCAACACTCGGGCCGTGCTGCAAACAGAGGGAGTCACTGAACACACGGGAACTCCCCGCACGTGTCTGTGATCACGGAGACTGCAGCGACCGAGCGCCTCGCTCTGCATCGCTGCCAGACGGAGAGCGAGTCACGGAGCTCAAACAAAGCCTTGGGGGTCTCTTCCTGAAGGCAAATGCCAGCCCTGGTCAGAGGGACCTGAAGGATTAGCACCAGAGCTGAGCCAGGACTAGGCTTTGGAGAACTTGTGCAAAACTTGGGTTTGAGCTCTGTGAAAGCACATTGCACATAATCCCAGAACTGTTCTTTTTACCTGGCGCCCGCTGAGCACCAGGCGCAGGAGCTGCATCATGCTGCTGTACTTGGTCTCTCTGGTTTGCTTCTGGAGACTTCTCAGGTCTTTGTTCAGCTCCTCCACAGTCAAGGCAGCTGCCTGCCTTGTCATGAGCCTTTAGGGAAGAAGGTATCCTTACACTCTGGGGACATGAAAAGCACAGGATTCCTACCTCTCACCCCTGCCCTGTGCCAGGGCACTCCCTCTGCTCGCCAGAAGCAGAGCTCATTTAAAAGAGCAAGTTTAAACTACGAAATGATGCCATTGTCTGTGGAAAACCACAGAAAAAGCAGGAATTCTGATTATTTCAATTTTCAGAGATGAGGAGCCGTTGCTGCCAATACTCAGCTCAGACAGCAGCACACTTACCCCAGGACTAGTTTTCCTATTTCATCTACTTCTGCAGAAATTGTCTGCAGCTGCTGCCGGGACACTGAGGGCCTGACCCACAGGTAAGAGTAATCACTCGACACCAGGTTCTTCAGGAAGCTTATGTGACCCTGGGGAAAGAGAGCGAGGCTGGCAGGGCAGAGGGCTGAGCTGTGGAGGAAGCAATGCCTCAGCCTGGAGGATGGTGGCACAGTGCTCTGCCACCACTCGTACTTTTCTCAGCAGCAGGACTCGCTCCACATATTCATTTTCCAGAACGTCTGGATCCACTTGCTGATCCCCATAGACGAGCTCCACCAGCCCCTGCAGCTCCCTCACGAGCTTCTGGCGCAGCCCTTGGTTCTCAATGTGGCGGGTGAGGTGAACCCTGTAACAGAGAAAAGACCTGCTCTTGGATTGCTCTGGCTAACATCAAATCACCCCAACCACACTGCACAGAAATCACAGAATATTCTGGCTTGGAAGAGACCCACAAGGATCATCAAGTCCATCTCTTAAGGGAAGAGCCCATCTGGGGACTGAACCCATGACTTTGGCATTCTTAGCACCATGCTCTGACCCACTGAGTTAAAGCTGTGGAACTGTTAGAAAAGCAACACTAAACCACAGTCAGACACTCTACAAAGGAGCATTTAGCTCTGGTGCCCCACAGGGAGCTGATGATGAGGCCACTCTTAGCAGCACAATGTCCTAACAGCACAAGTGTTGCAGAAGAATGTTCTGGAAGTGCTAACTCTTTTTAGATATTATTTTCTTAGGTTATAAACTTAAGATCCTCCCAGCTACACCCACCCTCTGCCTAGTTCAGTGTAGCCAAGCCCAGTGTCCAAGCCCAGAATGGGAGAGGAGGCAGGAACAGTGTGAGCAGAAACTTATGTTTCCTCTTAGCACAGCCCAACAGCTGCTGCACCAGGACCATGCTTGATCCAACACACAAAACCTCCAGCCAAAGCCAAGTGCTAGAAACAAATTCTCACTGACGTGGTGCTTACGACATTTTAAAGCTACCATTCATTTTTTACCTGTTGAATTCTGGGAGCGCTTCAAGGTCCAGGAAAGCAGAATGGGTTGTAATTCTGCCTACTTCGAATTGAGAGATCAGCTCCTCCAAAGTCCTCCCCATCTGCTTCTCTGCAACACAAGCCACAGGGAATCCCAGGGCTCAGTGCTCCTGCACAGAACCATGGTGCTGCTCACACCTCGGGCACGGGGCCGGCAGCACGTTGCACAAAGGTGACACAGGACAGCCACTGTGCAGTGCCAGCAGCAGCAGGGACGTCCCCCAGCAGGCAGGAGGGAACTGGCAGCAGGCACACACAGGATGCTGCCCTCTCCCCAGGAGCCTGCTGTGCTGGTGAGGCACTGGGAACTGGGACACTCTGCCTGGCTCTGTCATCAGACATGCCCCCTCCATCGGACAAAGAGAAGTCACACGCAGCCAGGAGGCTGCACTGCCCTGGGAAGATTTCCTTCCCAAGCACAGTTCCCAGCACACAAGCTAATTTGTGATCCCCACACAGCAAGAACCACAGAAGGAGACACTGATTCAACTCCTCGTGGTCTGTCAGGTTAAAGGTGTCAGACAACACTTATTAACCACATTATTATTAATTATTAACCACAGAATGCAAGTTTTCCCAAGACTTCACAGACAGTTTCTCAGCCTTGAAGTGAAGGTTTTCCCAAGGGAGAAGCCATTAAGCACCTGACTCAATTTTAACAGCTGCACAGCAGCAGAAAGACTTCCACCATTCCAGCTCCTTCCACAGGAGCGCTGCAGAAGGTCTGGTGGCACCTCAGTGACCCACTGTCACTGGTGACACCCATTCCCTGACCCCTCCAAACAGTGACAAAGTTCTCAGCTATTAAAATACACCCAGCCCATGCCACAAAGTCAGCATGAAGTGACCTGGCAGGCAGGAGCCCGTGGTGTTACCTGTGAACCCCGAGCCGCAGTTGGTGACAATGTCCAGCAGTGCCTCTGGCAGGAAGCCATCCCGAGCAAAGTGCTCCAGGAAGATGTCCCCCTGCCTCTTGGACAGCTTGCCACCGTCCTTGTTCAGCAGCAGTGGCAGGTGGCCAAACTGAGGGGGCTCCCAGCCAAAGGCTTTGTAGAGCAGCAGGTGCTTGGAGGTTGAAGTCAGCCACTCGGTGCCGCGCAGGACGTGGGTGATGCCCATGTAGTGGTCATCCACCACATTTGCCAGGTGGTACGTGGGGAAGCCGTCCCCCTTGAGAATCACGGGGTCACCTTCCACCTCTGCCACCTCGTGCTTGCTCCAGCCATAGACCAGGTCCTGGAAGGGTTCCACCCCCTTCTCCAGGCGGAAGCGGATGACGAAGTCAAGGCCCTGTGACAGCTTCTGGGCCACTTCCGTGGGCGTCAGGTGCCGGCACCGATTGTCGTATCTTTGGGAGGTGAGAACGAAGGTTCTGCTCAACACAGCCCAGCAACATCAGCCATTTTTCCCTTCCCAAAACTCCAAGCAGCCACCTGGATTTTAGCTGTAAGCTGCCCACTATGTGTCCAGTCAAACACCTCATGTCAGGAGGGTGACACGGGTCCCTCTCCACGACACAAGGGCGCTGCTGCCCCGGGGCCGTGCAGGGAGCAGGCCAGGACGTACCGCGGGGTCTGCTGGCTGCGCACGGCGTCCCTGCGCAGCAGCTCCAGGCGCTGCGGGCTGCAGAAGCAGCGGTAGGCAGCCCCGCTGGCCAGCAGCGCTGCACCAGCCCGGCCGTACAGCTCCAGCCTCAGCGACTGCACGTAGGGCCCGGCGGGGCCGCCGCGCCCGGGGCTCTCGTCCGGGGGAATACCTGGAACATCGGCATGGTGAACGGCTGGGCTGCCAAAACAACCCAAAGGCAGAGCCAAACCCACCCTCCAGCTGAGTACTGTTAGCCTCTGAAAGAAAGGTAAGGTTTCAGTAGGTGAAAAATGAAAAACGTTTCTGAATACCTGCCCAGTCCAACATATCTTCTATTCCTTCTGCAGCTCCAGGCACCACCCGATTCTGATCTGTATCTTCCACTCTTAAAATAAAGGTCCCTTTGTGTTTTTTGGCAAAGATGTAATTGTACAAAGCGGTCCTAAGGCCACCTAAATGAAGAAAACCTGTAATCGTGGGGAAATTAGAGGAGACGGTCACAAAGTAGGCTCAGGAAAGAGTTCTAAATATGAGCTGGAAGGGCGCTGGATGCTGCCTGTGACTGCAGCGCCCCTGAGCCGGGTGCTGCACCGCACGAACACAGCTCCGCGGGCACTGGCTAAGAACATACTTGTGGATGACTACCCCCAGGAACAGAGTACACTTCAGAGGTCCTGAAGTGACCTGGAAATCCCTCATAAGCTAGCACATGGCAGGAACAGCAGTGCCACGGGACACCAGCAGTGACCCCGCACGACAGGGAACGCACGGGGACACGCTGGGAGGGGGAGCCCGGCAGCTCCGGCAGGAGCACCCCGGGAAGCCAGCAGTCCCTCCGGAGTCCGAATTTATGTTTTCGAACCCAAAGCCCCGCCCTGCCGCAGCGGAGCCCCGGGGGTGGCAGGGGCGGGGCTGCCGAGGGGTCGTTTACCTGTGGG